TCACTACAACCTCCGCTTCCTGGGTTCAAGTGATTCTCCTGCCTCAGCCTCCCGAGTAGCTGGGATTACAGGTGCCTGCCACCACGCCACCTAATTTTTGGTAGAGATGGGATTTCACCATGTTGGCCAGGCTGGTCTTGAACTCCTGACCTCTGGTGATCCACCCACCTCGGTCTCCCAAAGTGCTGGGATTACAGGCATGAGCCACCACACCTGGCCCCTTCTGTCTTTAACTTGAGAAAAACATTAATCTCACAATGTAACAACAGAAAAATTTACCAAATTTGCTGGGCGCAGTGGCTCATGCCTGTAATCCCAGCACTCTGGGAGGCTGAGGTGGGCGGATCACGAGGTCAGGAGTTCAAGACCAGCCTGGCCAACATGGTGAGACCCTGTCTCTACTAAAGATACAAAAAATTAGCCAGGTGTAGTGACATGCTCCTGTAATACCAGCTACTGGGGAGGCTGAGGCAGGAGAATCACTTGAACCTGGGAGGCGGAGGTTGTAGTTGAGCTGAGATCGTGCCATTGCACTCCAGCCTGGGTGACGGGGTGAGACTCTGTCTCAAAATAAATAAATAAATAAATACAAACAAATTAATTGTTTTAATATTCATGTTCCCATCAAGTTCTTACCCATATGTACACGGAATTTCTAGCAACATAATCATGGTATAGATAAAATTTCTGCCAGGCGTGGTGTTTCACACCTGTAATCCCATCACTTTGGGAGTCTGAGGTGGGTAGATTGCTTAAGTCCAGGAGTTCCAGACCAGCCTGGCCAACATGGTGAAACCCTGTATCTACTAAAAATACAAAAAAATTAGCCAGGCGTGGTGGTGACAAGCAGCTGTCATACCAGCTACTTGGGAGGCTGGGGTGGGAGCATCGCTTGAGCCCTGGAAGCAAAGGTTGCAGTGAGCCAGGATCTCACCACTGCACTGTAGCCAGGGCAACAGATTCCATGATTTCCTCTGGTCTCTGTTGTACCATAGCCTTAATCACTGATTAAGTTACTAGTCATGCTCTGATTAATTGCTAGTAATTTTACTTTGACATACTTATCTAGCAAAATAAACTTATAGTAATTCAACTATGACAGCGAATAATAATAAAGTAGTAAAACATAAAACATACCACATGGTCCTGATTTGACAAGTCGTATTTCAGTGCAAATGACTTCACTCTTCCTACATATATTGTATTGTAAAATTTTATAAGATCACCTCTTTCCTCTTTCACTGGTCCACTGGAACAGTCAGGTGTTTTTGTAGCATCTTCCAAGTCTGTTAAAAAGAATGCAATGTTGTGATACAAAGCATACTTTTTATTTTATTTTTTTTGAGACAGGGTCTCACTTTGTCACCCAGGGTGGAGTGCAGTGGTGCAATGTTGGCTCACTGCAACCCCGACCTCCTGGATTCAAGTGATCCTCCGACCTCAGCCTCCTGAGTAGCTGGGACTACAGGCACACACCACCATGCCTGGCTATTTTTTATTTTTAGTAGAGACGGCGTTTATTTTTAGTAGAGACGGCAATATTTCCATGTTGCCCAGGATGGTTTCCAACTCCTGGGCTCAAGTGATCTGCCAGCCTCAGCCTCTCAAAGTGCAGGGATTACAGGCGTGAGCCACCATGCCCAGCCACAAAGCATACTTTAATATACAAGTCAGCAATTTAAATTACCTTTCTACAATATTAAAAAAAACTCACAAGTCTTTACGTAGAGAAATTAATATTTTCAGAGAAGGTTCAGAAATCCATCTGTATTACTTTTAAGTCAAATTGGAATCTAGAGAAATGCAAACATATCAATTGAAGGTGGTGCTCTCTTCTCTAGATGCCACTTCAGAATGTTTTCACAACCATAGCTTTTGAGCTGACTGTCATTAGTGGCTTTTAGAGGGGCAACAGCCCTGAGCTGGTGTTATCTAAGTTCTACAGTATGGGAGGCAGTGGCAGACCTCAGCTTCAGAAAACTAAAAGGCCTGCAGATATTCTTCTTGTGTCTTTGAGAAAGGTGGAAAGATTCTAAAAGGTAAAGTATATCCTGAGAGGTTAGGGAAGAAGCAAAATGAATTACATTTATTTCTCTGCAAATACATGGCAGGTGACAGGTGTTCTAAGAGCCTTATTGTACCACGTATAACAGGAACCCTGATCAGGAACCAGTGTTCAGGTTTTACTGAGCACCCCCAATAGTAAAATAACAGCTTGCCCCAACGTAGTTTCCTACTTAATGGTGCAACTCTGGGATAGCTTGTGAAACTAGGCAGAAATTTGTCCTACTATTTTTTGGGGAAGGAAAAGTATTATACAGTATTACAAACTATCATTTGCTTGTATGTACAAGAACCATGTGTTTAGAAGAGTTAAGAAAACCACTACCAATTAAAAAGAATTTAGCATTTATATGAAAAAAGTTCTCATTCTCAATTCACTGGCCTACAAACATTGAGAACATGGGTAGAAGCAATGCCTTCACCTTAGGAAAACCAGAAAACACAAACATGGTTCAAAGACCAAACGGCCCCAGGGGATCTCAGTCTTAATTTGGATGTCTTTTTCACTTCTGCTATTTCTAAAGGATCTTGACTAGGGTGGGAGGGGAGGGGAGCTATGTGGTTAAATAAAGTTGAGGATATGCTGTACATTATATTAGAAATTCAGAAATGCATGTTAGTATAAGGCTCTGAGAAGTACTGCAGTTTGGGGAAAAAAAAAACTCTCATGTTCACTTTAATTCCATACTTCCCCAATTTTTTATGTATAGTCTCTTTCCCCAAAACACTTTTTTTTTTTTTGAGAGGGAGTCTTGCTCTGTCGCCCAGCCTGGAGTGCAGTGGCGCAATCTCGGCTCACTGCAGTCTCTCTGCCCGCTGGGATCCAGCGATTCTCCTGCCTCAGCCTCCTGGGTATTTGGGATTACAGGAGCATGCCACCACATCTGGCTAATTTTTGTATTTTCAGTAGAGATGGGGTTTCATCATGCTGGACAGGCTGGTCTCAAACTCCTGACCTCAGGTGATCCGCCTGCTTTGGCCTCCCAAAGTGCTGGGATTATAGGCGTAAACCACTGTGCCTGGACCCCCCAAAACACTTATACTACCATTCTGGGAAACACTGTTCCAAAGGATACTGGTATGTTAACAGCTCTTCTAGGTTATTCTCATTATATGGATCAATTAAAATTATTTCTTTTTGTTTTGTTTTTATGACAGGTTCTTGATCCTCTTGCCTCAGCCTCCCTAGTAGCTGGGACTACAGGTGAATGCTGCCACACCAGGCTAATTTTTTTTTACTTTTTGGTAGAGATCAGGGCTCTCCCTACATGTTTTCTGGCTGGTCTCTAACGAGTCCTGTGCTTCAAGTGATCCTCCCACTTTTGGTCTCCTCTCTATATATAGCTGCTGGGATTCATCCAGATGTGAGTGGACCGACGCCTGGCCTACCAACCTTCTTAATGTCCTCATTGTATTGCAAATTTATTGAGACAGAGACTATAGTGTACTACCATATTTCCTGTGCATGTTCATTCCAATTCCAGCTGGTTAATATTTATGTAGGGTAAGGAGCTATACTTTACTGGAATGAACCAAACATTAAAATTGTGGGAGGCTGGATGTGGTGAAAACCCTGTCTCTATAAAAAAAAGAAATTAAGGGGCCGGGCGCGGTGGCTCACGCCCTGTATAACCCCCCTCAATGCGCGAGCAGATCTCAAGGCAGTGCGCGAATCTATTATGTGTCTATGATTGAGATCGAGCATCCATCCTTGAGAAGCAAACCGATGATAGACCCTTCCAGTCTCTACTAACAATACATACTCAAAAAATAATAGACCGGCGCGTGGCGGGTGGCTGTATTGATAGTCACAGCTACACTAGATGAGGCTGGATGGCACGTGCAACGAGCTGTTAACACCGAGGTATGGCTGCACAGCATTGGTACGCTCGAGAGATATCATGCAGCGACGCACACCTATCAACCACGTTAACCAGGAAATCCTCAGTCGCGTGGCAATCAGCAGAATAGAGACATTTAGTCCCGTCTCTAATATACAAAAAAATAAAAAAATAATAAACAAGAATATAAAAAAACCTAGGTGTGGTGCACGCACTTTTAATCCCTAGCTACTTGGGACGGCTGAGATGAGAGGATCGCTTGAACCCAGGAAATCAAGGTTGCAGTGAGCTATGATTACCCTATTACATTCCAGCCTGGGCAACAGAGCAAGATCTCATCTCTAAAATTTAAAAAAACTAAAGAAAAAAAAGACATTAAAAAAAATATACTCGTCCAGGTGTGGTGGCTCACGCCTGCAATTCCAGCACTTTGGGAGGCCGAGGTGGGAGGATCACTTGAGCCCAAGAGTTCAAGACCAGTCTGGGAAACACAGTGAGATCCCATCTCAGTCTCCCAAAGTGCTGGGATTACAGGTGTGAGCCACCATGTCCGGCCAGAAATGGGTTTTTACTGATGAAAATAGTGAATGGTTTATTAAGTGGGACTAATGCTAAAAAAACCATACTCATTAATATAATAAATTTGATATTGCTTATAAATAATAGCTATTACTAAGGCCTTACTATGAACAAAGCTTGTATTAAATATTATATATATGCATATGTGTATACATAGTTGTGTATTGCATAATGATGGGTTATCTTCTCAGAAATGCATTGTTGAAATGATTTTGTCATGAGAATACTATAGAGTATACTTACACAAACCTAGATTGTATGACCAACTACACACCTAGGCTGAATGGTATAGCATATTGCTCCTAAGTTACAAAACTGTACAGCATGTTACTGTCCTGAATACCACAGGCAATTGTATCACAATGGCAAGTATTTGTGCACCTAAATATATCTAAACATAGAAAAGGTATAGTAAAAATACAGCATTATAATCTTATGGGACCACTGTTGTATGTGTGGGCCATCACTGACTGAAACATCATTATACGGCACATGACTGTGTGTGTGTGTGTGTATGCACACACATACATACATATACATCTAGTTATATTTTTTATTTTTAGAGACAAGATCTTGCTCTATCACCCTGGCTGAAGTGCAGTGGTGCGATCATAGTTCACTACAATCTCAAATTCCTGGATTCAAGTGATCTTCCTGCCTCAGTCTCCCAAGTAGTTGGGACTACAGGTGTCAGCCACCATGCCCAGCTAATTTTTTATTTTCATTTGTTGCAGATGGGGGTCTTGCTGTGTTGCTCTTGCTGGTCTTTAATTCCTGGGCTCAAGGGATCCCCTTGCCTCAGCCTTCCATAGTGCTGGGAGATTACAGGCATGAGCCACAACACCCAGCCTAAATATAATTATTTTTAATCCGTAAAATAAGTTTCTAAGGAAGTAATGTAAAGTTTTCAGTTAACTACAATACACTTCAGTACAGTGTTATGTTTGTGTTACTTAGGTTAAGCTATAACCTAGGTCTCACAAGTATTCTAATTAAGACTGCCGCTCTGGAGTGGTCTGCTAACATGACAATGAAGAATTCATAGCCCATGAGGAGTGAGCTGGTGTTTTAATCAGGAAATTCTTTCTCCACTCCAACAGTTTCTGTTAGGCATATCTCAATTGATGACCAATGCTTTGCTCATTAACATACTCAAAGTCAGAATTTTTTTTTTTTTTTTTTTTTTGAGAAAGAGTCTTGCTCTGTTGCCCAGGCTAGAGTGCAGTGGCACAATCTCAGCTCACTGCAACCTCAGCCTCCAGTGTTCAAGCAATTCTCCTGCCTCAGCCTCCTAAGTGGCAGGGATTACAAGTGCTCACCACCATGCCTGGCTAATTTTTGTATTTTTAGTAAAGATGGGGTTTCACCATGTCAGCAAGACTGGTCTCGAACTCCTGACCTCAAGTGATCCACCCGCCTTGGTCTCCCAAAGTGCTGGGATTACAGGTGTGAGCCACCATGTCCGGCCAGAAATGGGTTTTTACTGATGAAAATAGTGAATGCTTATTAAGTATGACTAATGCTAAAAATGAGCTCATGTTCAGGAAATAAAAAGTATTTAAGATAAGCAGATTGGTTAAAATATTTGAGACACTACCCTCAATAGCCATGAAAGTGATGAAAGATCCAGTGAAGTCTCTAGGCTTTACTCTTAGGGATAATAACGTTAAGGCTAAAAGCTCTAAGAAGTCCTGTGTCCAGCCCTGAATTCTGATCCACGGTATTTGCTTGATGCTAGCCGTAAGGTTGACTGAATCCTGCATCTGAAGTCCTGGCACCCATTCTTGAGCAAGTCTTTTCCTTGGGTGGTGGTCAGACATAGAACTGGGATATATGAACTTACTGCATAGGATATATAAATTGTGTGTGTGCTTTTTAAACAGTAATTATTTTACAACCCATAATGAATTTGTTTATAGAACCAGAACTGTTCTTCCCAAGTCGGTGTTCTTTGGTGTGTCCAAATCTGGGTCATAGCATCTAGACATAGCTCTAAGAACTGGAAGGTGACTTATCTGAATATAGACTTGTCTGATTGCATATCCTCCTACATAACTTTCTCTCTCTTTTTTTTTTTTTTGAGACAGGGTCTTGCTCTGTCTGGAGTATAGTGGCAAGATCATGGCTCACTCTAGCCTTGACATCCTGGGCTCAAGCCAACCTCCCAATTCAGCCTCCTGAGTAGCTTGGACTATAGATGCTCACCACCATGTGTGGCTATTTTAAAAAAATTTTTTGTAGCAATGGGCTCTCACTATGTTACCCACAATGGTCTTGAACTCCTGGGTTCAAGCCACCCTCCTGGCTTGGCCTCCCGAAGTGCTGGGATTATAGACGTAAGTCACTGTGCTCTCACTCTCTTTATGAGTGCCAGAATTCCTGAGTTCATCATCACTGGATATTCTCCCTGCCCCGTGCCACCACCACTGTACAGGACCTGTAACAATGATTGTTTGCTTATTTGCTAATAAATATAGTTAATAACTGTATATAAGACAGAGTGCGGTGACTCACACCTGTAATCCCAGCACTTTGGGAGGCCAAGGCAGACGGATCACTTGAACCCAGGAGTTCAAGACTGGCCTTGGCAACATGGTGAAACCCCATCTCTACAAAAAATATAAAAATTAGCCAGGCCGTGGCTGAGCCGAGAATCACTTGGGCCTGGGAGGTCAAGGCTGCAGTGAGCTGTGACTGTCCCACTGTACTCCAGCCTGGGTGACAGAGCAAGACATGGTCTCAAACAAACAAACAAACAAACAAAAGGTCAGGTGCAGTGGCTGACGCCTGAAATCCCAGCACTTTGGGAGGCCAAGGTGGGCGGATCACCTGAGATCCGGAGTTCAAGACCAGCCTGGCCAACATGGCAAAACCCCGTCTCTACTAAAAATACAAAAATTAGCTGGGCGTGGTGGCAGGTATCTGTAATCCCAGCTACTTGGGAGGCTGAGGCAGGAGAATCACTTGAACCTGGGAGGTGGAGGTTGCAGTGAGCCGAGATCGCACCGTTGCACTCCAGTCTGGGCCACAAGAGTGAGACTGTATCTCAAAAAAAAAAAAAAAAAAAAAAAAAAAAAAAAAAAGAAAGAAATTGTGTAGCAGAATTTGATCTGAAACCTATATATACAGGAAGTGGCGAACTCTCAGTCACCTCAAGTTTCTTTGGCAGACACTTATCAAAAAGAAAACAAAACAGAAAACGACATCATCTATTATCTTTTGCTTCTACTCTCTACTTCACTGCTCTTGTAGCTCAGATACTTGCTAGCAGTTAGTTTCGCATAGAAAAAACACAAAAGAGGCAAGGGATCCACAGCTTTCTAGCTAACCTGATGTCTGGTTTTGTAGGAACAGAAAAACCACCCCAGATAGGTAAGCAACATGTATAACAAATACAGAAAAAGGCTTTTTAATAGTTTGTCAGGGTTACTGTCTGCATTTGTTGTTGTTTTGTTTTTTTGAGATGGAGTCTCACTCTGTCACCCAGACTGGAGTGCAGTGGCAGGATCTTGGCTCACTGCAACCTCTGCCACCCAAGTTCAAGTGATTCTCCTGCCTCAGTCTCCTGAGTAGTTGGCATTACAGGTGCCTGCCACTGCACCCACTGCACCTGGCTAATTTTTGTAGTTTTAGTAGAGACGGGTTTCACCATCTTGGCCAGGCTGGTCTCGAACTCCTGATCTCATGATCCACCCACCTCGGCCTCCCAAAGTACTGGGATTACAGGTGTGAGCCACCGCGCCTGGCCAGGGTTACTGTCTTATATACTCCTCATTGCCTTGAAAAGGCTCCAGAATAACACACTTACGTAAAAAGAATTGAGTTTGGCCTATTATCCTCAAAAAGTCAGATTCTAGGACATTATTAAAAGATCTTTTTGGTGAATGAAATCTTAAAGTTTATATCCCAGTGGACATCATAATGATTATGGATATTTTTATAATTTAAAAACTTGTTTTAATTCATCAGATTTTCTTTTAAGAATTTATCCTAAGGATGTGGCCTAAATATTTAAGCTACAAATGATACTCATCACAGAGCTGTGCATAACTAGAAGCAACCTGGCCAGGCATGGTGGCTTACACCTGTCAGCCCAGAACTTCGGGAGGCCAAGGTAGGGAGATTGCTTGAGTCCAGGAGTTGGAGACCAACTTGGGCAACATGGCAAAATCCCACCTCTACAAAAAATTAGTTGGGTGTGACAGCAAGACTGAGATGAAAGGAACGGGGGAGGTCAGGGCTGCAGTAAGCCATGATTGTGCCACTGCATTCCTGCCTGGGTAACGGAGTGAGATCCTGTCTCAGAAAAGAAAAAAAGAAAAGAAAAGAAAAAAGAAAAGAGAAAGGAGGGCAGGGGAGGGGGAGGGGAGGAGAAGGGATGGGGATGGGGAGAAGACAGGAAAGGAGAGTGGGGGATAGGAGAGGACAAGACAAGACAAGAAAAGAAAAGAAAAGAAAAGAGAAGAAAAAAGGAGAAATGACCTAAATATCTCACACTGTGGCATTAAAGAAATCACAGTACCTAGGCTTGGCACAGTGGCTCATGCCTGTAATCCTAGTACTTTGGGAGGCCAAGGTGGGCGGGTCACTTGAGCTCACGATTTCAAGACCAGCCTGAGCAAACATGGCAAAATCCTGTCTCTACAAAAAATATAAAAATTAGCCAGGGTGATGGTGCATGCCTGTAGTTCCAGCTATTCGGGAGGCTGAGGTGGAAGGATTACTTGAGTCTGCGAGGTCGATGCTGCAGTGAGTCATGATCATACCACTGCACTCTAGTGTAGGTGACAGAACAAAACCCTATCTCAAACAAAGCAAAACAAAAAAAAATCACAGTATATACACATGTATATATTACATACACCTTAAATACATGGAAAGATGAGACAAGGGAAAGGAGGTAGACAGAAGAGGTGTATGAATACTAACCATTTGATTTTCTTTTCTTTAAAAAAGATTACTAGTGCCTGAAGTCTTAGCATGATGGTGGCAAGAGGGTGCAGTCTTGCCTGTGGTAGCAGAATTACCTATAAATAATACTTATATGAACAGGACATTTTCTTTTGTGTGTGTGTGTGCGACAGAGTCTCACTCTGCTGCCAGGCTGGAGTGCAGTGGCGTGATCTCAGCTCACTGCAACCTCTGACTCCCGGGTTCAAGTGATTCTCCTGCCTCAGGCTCCTGAGTAGCTGGGACTACAGACGCATACCCCACAACTAGTTAATTTTTGTATTTTTTAAAGTAGAGATGGAGTTTCACCATGTTGGCCAGGATGGCCTTGATCTCTTGACCTCGTGATCTGACCGCCTTGGCCTCCCAAAGTGCTGGGATTACAGGCGTGAACCACCACGCCCAGCCAGGACATTTTCTTAATAGACTCCTCGGGAAGATTACTGTCAGCTACCTTGTTTTCCCTGTCATTCAGATTTAAGAATTTTATTAAGTCTCTTTTATATGTTTCATTAACATGTATAAGTAGACTAGAAAATTTCTTCCAAAACACAATTAACGGGGGACAAATTAATGGTTTCAATAAACTATACCAGTACATTCTAATCTCAAACATAATTGTTTTCAAAACGTGTGTGTATTGTCTACCTCACCTCCTCATGATTCACATTTCCATGTTGTCTGACACCCACTGTATTATGTACAGTGTGATCCAACGTGTTTTACATATAGTATGTTAAATTGGATAACTTACCACAATCTATCATTTCAAAGTCATCATTTATATTTTTATTATATGCCACAAATTCTCTTGGAATACTTTTCAGCAGAACACTTCTATATACCTACACACCAGAGGGGAAAAAAAGGACTGCTCAGTCACAGAGGTACATGTTAAACAAAATCAAAGTGAGAAGAGCAAAATATCAAGCCAATGAAAAATTATTTGTCTGTATAAGTGATACTCAAGGGTAAAATGTTATTAGCTCTAGTAAGCATAGATTATAACACATACCATAAAAGAGGGGATACTGGAGAAGAGCTTACCATCTAAGATGGGCTTAGTTTATAAAATAGAAGAAATAGCAACTAAAGACTCATGATTGGGTTTTACTAAATAAAAGCAACTTCAAAGACCTGAGTTTGGTCAGGTGCAGTGGCTCACACCTGTAATCCCAGCACTTTGGGAGGCCAAGGCGGGCAGATCACTTGAGGCCAGGCATTCAAGACCAGCCTGGCCAACACGGTGAAAGCCCGTCTCTACTAAAAATACAAAAATTAGCTGGGCATGGTAGCACACACTTGTAATTCCAGCTACTAGGGAGGCTGAGGCAGGAGAACTGCTTGAAGCCAGGGGGTGAAGGTTGCACTGAGCTGAGATTGCACCACTACGCTCCAGCCTGGACAACAGAGCAAGACTCTGTCTCAAATACAAAACAAAAGAAACCAAACAAACAAACAACAAAAGACCTGAATTAATTCCTCCTTTTTAATTCCTTACACAACAATCGATTGGTCTTTTTTTTTTCTTTTTAGAGACAGGGTCTCACTCCATGGCTCAGACTGGAGTGCAGTGGCACAATTATGGCTCACTGTAGCATTGACCTCCTGGGCTCAAGCAATCTGCCTGCCTTGGCTTCCTTAACTGGTGGGATTACAGGCGTGAGCCACTGTGCCTGGCCAAGAGTCGTTTGTTCTTAAAGCAGCTTGTTTTTCTGCCCCCAGCCCATTCCCATCTCCTTTCAGATGGCCACATGAAAATCTTTTCCCTTCCCTGCCCCTGAACTATCTCACCTCTGAGATAGCTGGAAAGGCATGATCCATTCCCCCTTGTACTATATTATAGGTTACTGGTATTAAGAGGATATTCAGGGAGCCATGGCTTGGCCCATTTTTGACTCACACTAACCTCACCTTAATGATCTTCAAGGACAATCTAGAGCTTTCTAGGCTCTGTTCCTGAGGGATTTTCCTGAAGAAGCCCAGAAAATCTTAGCTTATCACAGGATATAACAAATGCCTGTACTTGGTTCTTCAAATGTCTCTATATTGCTTGCTATAATGTATTTTAGGGCTTAAAGCTCTCTTAGAAGGGGATATAACTACTAATACTGAGGCCACATCTCTGTGTTGGTCTGCAATCTAGGCCACTCTCACTCTCTTTCTGGCTACAATTTCCAGGGCCAGAGAAGAGACCATTATGCTTCCTAAGAGCAGAGCAACCAGGTTCTTGAATGATCAAACCCTTAAGGTAATTTACTTGTGTTCTTCAGGTACAATAATAACAACAATATGACATTAACATTCATTAAATGCTTATTGTGTGCCAGTCCACTCTGCTACTATGACTGAAAGGTTTCATGCAATTTTCACCACAGCGAGAACAATATAATCAGAAATGTTTAACATCTATTCAAAGATGCAAACATTAGGGTGCTCAGCAGATGGCAAAAGAAGCTGTAGTTAGGTTAATGAACCCTAAAATTTCACTGGGTTTAAATATCATTAAAAAAATAAAGTTATATAATTAAAGAATATTATTATTATACATATCTTTTTCTTTTTTTTTCTGAGATAGAGTCTCGCTCTGTCGGCCAGGCTGGAGTGCAGTGGAACAATCTTGGCTCACTGCAACCTCCGCCTCCCGGGCTCAAGCAATTCTCCTGCATCAGCCTCCCGAGTAGCTGGGATTACAGGCGTGTGCCACCATGCCTGGCTAATTTCTGTATTTTTAGTAGAGACAGGATTTTACCATGTTGGCCAGACTGGTCTCGAACTCCTGACCTCAGGTAATCCACCTGACTCCGCCTCCCAAAGTGCTGGGATTACAGGCGTGAGCCATTATACATATCTTTCATTAAATGAACAAATAGAATGGCAGAACTTATGAGAAGTATATGAAAGTATATGGATGAATCGGAAACAGTTAGATTTCCTGGCTTCTACTGAAATTGTCCTTTGATGAAATTCTCTCTTGAGTTTTAATGTTATCCATTAAAACAGAAAATCTGAAGTATATTAAAACTATAAAATAAGTTTACCTTTTATATAACTTGTCAGTGGAAAACAGTAAATCTATTTTTGGACAGTAGGAGAAATAATGTAACTCACGTGACTATTAGCTTGGGGCTGATTCCTGTAACTTTTCATAATTTCTTGAAAAGTTCTTTCTTCTTTTGTTACCTAAGGAAAATAAAAACTGCATTTATCAAATGCTTTTTGAAAGAAAAATGACTCTGAACAAAACTTCAATTATAAGTTGGCACTGAGAGCGACCTTGCAGAAAACCATTAACCCCAGGCCAGTCAATGACTAAAAACCACTAACATTTATGATTTTTTTCTACCTTTACAGTTCAGGCTTTGTAGCCTGTGGGGAATCACTTAATAGTTTCATTAATCAAAAAGCACTGAAACTGTTATGGTGTGACTCTACTGAAAATCCATTTCTTTATATAAAAAAAGATATAAGAAAACTCAGATCTGTTTAATGCCCTGCAGTCTCCAGTTTTATTAATTTTAAGTACTTACTTAAAAGTAAATTAACTACATACAAAGGATTAAAAATATCTTACAGTGATGATCCTCAATCAAACTGAGTGGCTATTATAGGATTAGGTTTTAACATTTCAGGACAGACTGTAGGGTTTCTAATGTTTAGACAGAAGTCACAGTGGTGGCCAAAAGGAAGAAAAAGGAATTCCTTCTGGGATCTCTGTGATCATAAACTTCACTTAAGTTACTCCTTTCCCTTGCTTCACCGTCCATTAGTGCTAACCCTGTTCTCTATAATGATGAGCTAGAAATGGCAAAGCCTGAACTCTAACAGTCTTCTGGAAAACACACGATTAGCTAGTAACATTTATCTTTTAAGTTTTTAATTCTTTTTTTTTTCTTTTTTTGAGATAGAGTCTCGCTCTGTCATCTAGGCTAGAGTGCAGTGGCGTGATCTTGGCTTACTGCAACCTCCGCCTCCCGGGTTCAAGTGATTCTCCTGCCTCAGGAGTCCTTCCTGAGTAGCTGGGACTACAGGAGTGTGCCACCACGCCCAGCTAATTTTTGTATTTTTAGTAGAGACAGGGTTTCACCGTGTTAGCCAGGATGGTCTCGATCTCCTGACCTCGTGATCTGCCTGTCTCAGCCTCCCAAAGTGCTGGGATTATAGGCGTGAGCCCACGCCCGGCCCTTCAGGTTGAGTTTTCTAACTGCAACTTCACCATTCTGCAAATCAGCAAGATTCACTTCAAACACATGACTCTTGAGGCTATCAGATGCAATTTGGTTCCTTGAGTCCTGGTAACTAGTGTCTTTCCAGTATTTCTTGTATAGAACATAGTCGGTGCTTTTTTGCATCAAACTAATCTTTCTTAAAAAATGAATCAACCATTTTCTTGTTGGCTCCCTTTTAGTTGCCTTTCGTATGGAGCATGTTCTCATTAACTGCCATAGTGCTGGAGAAACAATTACTAAGACCTATTATTTATTTATTTATTTATTTATTTGAGACAGAGTCGTGCTCTGTCACGCAGGCTGGAGTGCAGTGGCGCAATCTCGGCTCACTGCAAGCTCCGCCTCCCAGGTTCACGCCGTTCTCCTGCCTCAGCCTCCTGAGTAGCTGGGACTACAGGCGCCCACCACCACGATCGGCTAATTTTTTGTATTTTTAGTAGAGACGGGGTTTCACCGTGTTAGCCAGGATGGTCTTGATCTCCTGACGCTGTGATCCATCCGCCTTGGGCTCCCAAAGTGCTGGGATTACAGGCGTGAGCCACCGCGCCCAGCCTAAGACCTATTTTTCTTTTTTTTTTTTTTTTTTGAGACGGAGTCTCGCGCTGTGTCACCCAGGCTGGAGTGCAGTGGCGCGATCTCGGCTCACTGCAAGCTCCGCCTCCCAGGTTCACGCCATTCTCCTGCCTCAGCCTCCGAGTAGCTGCGACTACAGGCGCCCACCACCACGCCCGGCTAGTTTTTTTTTTTGTATTTTTAGTAGAGACGGGGTTTCACCATGTTAGCCAGGATGGTCTCGATCTCCTGACCTCGTGATCCACCCGCCTCGGCCTCCCAAAGTGCTGGGATTACAGGCTTGAGCCACCGCGCCCGGCCAAGACCTATTTTTTACAGAGATTTCAAAGAGGCATTCTGGGAGGAGGGTCACAAAGGAGTTTAAAAACATATGCTCTGTCTCAAAAAGCTGAAAAATCAAATCTTAACTGTATATATCTGCTAGGACTGCCAGTGTGGCCAGTGTGGTAAAGACAAATGATTGTATCAGATATATGAGAATTTTTAAAAACAAGCAAGATATGTTATTCTATGACTTAAAACACGTTGTAGCAACTAGAAAGTAAAATGCTCTTCTGGGGCAGCACAATAAATCACGAGAAAGCAATATGCAATATGGTACAGAAACTTTTTTTTTTCTTGAGACAGGGGTCTTGCTCTATTGCCCAGACTGAAGTGCAGTGTCATGATCTCGGGTCACTGCAACCTTGGCCTCCTGGGCTCAAGAGATCCTCCCACCTCAGTCTCCCAAGTAGCTGGGCCTATAGGTGCAAGCAACAATGCCCAGCTAACTTTTATATTTTTTACAGAGACAAGGTTTCACCATGTTGCCCAAGCTGATCTCGAAATCTTGGGCTCAAGTGATCTCCTTGCCTTGACCTCCCAAAGTGCTAGGATTATACGTGTGAGCCACCATGCCCGGCCTCTTCTCCCAATGTATACATTACCTTTGCCATGATATAAAAGGCACAAAGGAGGAGCTGATCCAAATGCCTGTCTTTCATTAGATCAGGGCAGTGAACTAAAGTAAATTCAAAACACGTCCATATCTTCCTTCGTAACTCATTTGAAACATCCAGTTTTAGACATAGATCACGTAAGCGTACACTTGCCAAATGATAGACCTAAAATAGAAGGTAACACATTGATGCAAAACACCAAGTAAATCATTTCTCAAATTTTTATGTCTTACCATGAACATGGGCTTTCAGACCAAGATTAAAAACACAGGCTGTTGATATACTAAATTAAATAAAATTTCTGTTCTATAGCACTAGTTCACTGCTATGGCAGGAGGATATAGATTAAAGCAAAGCTACTTGAAAATTTTTTTTAAAGATGTCATCTATTACTCTATGCTGCCAACTATGTAAAGAAAAACTGAAATATAGATTTACCTGCATCATGACAATTATGAATACATAATTTTTCCTTTTTTTTTTTTCCTCTTAGGTGGATTCTCGCTTTGTCACCCAGGCTGGAGTGCAGTGGCACCATCTTGCCTCACTGCAACCTCTGCCTTCTGTGTAAAGCAGTTACTGCCTTAGCCTCCTGAGTAACTGGGCATACAGTTGCAGGCCACCATGCCTAGCTAATTTTTGTATTTTTCGTAGAGACAGGGTTTGATCATGTTGGCCAGGCTTGTCTTTAACTCCTGACCCCAAGTAACCCACGCACTGCAGCCTCCCAAAGTAATGGGATTACAGGTGTGAGCCACTGTGCCCGGCCCGAACGCATAATTTTTCAAAGCTCAGAAGTCTCTGTCTATTCTCTTTGGGTTCAGGTAAAATTGCTAGGAGGCCTAACATGCCAAATAATATACGTTTGACTCCAAAATGAGTCAGAAAGCAAAACCATTTAAAAATTGCTCCTATATTCTACACTTTTTATGAGCACAATGGGAACAAAACAGGAATGTTAAATAAGATACAAAGCTTTTTTTTTTAAAGCATGTGAAAATAAATTCAGTTCAGTTCCCTGGCCCTAAGATCCTGCAAGACTTTTATTATTTTAAGAATTGATAACCCTGATGTGGTATTCCTAAACCAGACTATTCTATTCAAACTCTTTTTTTTTTTTTTTGAGACAGAGTCTCACTCCGTAGCTTAAGTTGGAGTGCAGTGGCACGATCTTGGCTCACTGCAACCTCTGCCTCCGGGCTCCAGTGATTGTCGTGTCTCAGCCTCCCAAGTAGCTGGGACTACAGGCAAGCATCACCATGCCTGGCTAATTTTTTTTTTTTTTTGTATTTGAGTAGAGATGTGGTTTCACCACGTTGCCCAGAGTGGTCTCAAACTCCTGAGGTCAGGCAATCTGCCTGCCTCGGCCTCCCAAAGTGCTGGGATTACAGGGTGAGTCACCGGCCCAAACTATGTCTTTAAATTTCCAGAGAGGAAAAAAAAAGAAAGTAAGTTACCCCTTACAGAAAATTATCTTTGGCAGAAAAATACCTACAAACTGAGCTTAAAAACTAATTTAAGCTACTCAGTAATCTAATATAAAGAGAGACAAATAGTTGACTCCAAAGCCACCAGTGATTTATTTTACAGCAAACAAATTTTCTGTATCCTCTCCCCTTGTTTCTGGTCCAGCCATGCTGAGGAAACAGTAGGGTCAGAGCAGAGGGAAAGACGCTAGAACTTTATATTCATGAAAGGATAAGATAAGAGATATAGTCCTAGCTAGAAGAATTAAAAATAATATGTAATTAAGTAACACTTGGTAAAGTATCTTTTACAGAACTGATCCAATGCTTACAGGATACACATATGCTGGCAGGCTTTTGATTCTAACATTCACGGTAAATTCTATTTAGGCATAGAACACCAGCATCACACTGAGTTCAGCATAGATAATTGTTATAATTTACTCAGTGAATGGTTATTTTGAATTTATTATAGATTCAGACATTTCAGTTCCTTTTATATTTTCTAGCTTCTTATCTATACTGAGTAGGTTATAATTAAATGAAAGGAAAAGGATGTTAGATTCTAAAACAACATTCAAAATGAAGAATTCACCAAAAAAAGCCTTACTTCTTTCAAACTTAGGTTAATTATCAGAGGCAATAATTTGCCATTTTGAAAATTAAAAACGGTAAGTAAATGGGGAAACCGCTATATTTTCAAGCTCTGTATTTTAAACAGTCCTTAGGCATAGGAGGGGGTGGAGGGACAGAGAAGAGAAGCCAGTAAAGGTGGTGAAAAGAGCAAGACTCTCCCTCAACCATCCTAATTGTCAACCAAAGCAGTCCTGCTTTCATATGTTTTGTTTATACTTCTGGAGACTATTTCATTCAAAGAAGGGGTTTCCCTAAAAGATGAAATTCCTTGGAGAATCAGTTGCTCCAAAACCCACAATGTAATGAAAATAAATGAGCTATAATTGAAAGGAACAGAAGACAAAGAATGGTTGTAGAAGCTATAAATGAGTTGTTTTCCAGTGTCTGTCTCCTCTTCTGCAATAACAGAACCCTTGACATTTACACCTGGCTTCCTGTAATAAAGACTATATTTGCCCCTTTGAAAATTCTGCCTGGGCACGGTGGCTCACATCTGTAATCCCAGCACATTGGGAAGGTGAGGTGGATGGACTGGTTGAGTCCAGGAGTTTGAAACCATCCTAAGCAACATAGTGAAACCCTTTATCTACAAAAAATTAAAAAATTAGCTGGGTGTGGTAGCCTGTGCCTATAGTCCCAGCTACTCAGGAGGCTGAGGTGAGAGGATCGCTTGAGCCCAGGAGGTTGAGGCTGCAGTGAGCCATGATCTTGCCACTGCACCCTAGCATGGGTGACTGAGCGAGACCTTGTCTCCAAAAAATAAATAAATAAATAAATAAATTCTACAAGTGGCTACATGACTAAGTGGGAAATAAACAGCACTGGTGTATGTAACTTCTAGGACAGGTTCTGAAGGTGAGGAGGCATGCTCTTTTTCTTCCTGCTGGCTAGAATGCAGATATATCTGGAAGGGAAGCAGTCATCATAGACTGAGTTAGAAACCTTGTGTTGAGAACGGCCAAAAAATCCTTGAAGGGACCTGGGTTTTTTTATTTTTTGAGATGGAGTCTTGCTCTGTCGCCCAGGCTAGAGTGCGGTGTCGCAATCTCGGCTCACTGCAACCCTGTTGCCCAGGTTCACGCCATTCTCCTGCTTCAGCCTCCCGATTAGCTGGGACTACAGGTGCCTGCTACCATGCCCGGGTAATTTTTTTGTATTTTTAGTAGAGATGGGGTTTCACCATGTTAGCCAGGATAGTCTCGAACTCCTGACCTCGTGATCTGCCCATCCCGGCCTCCCAAAGTGCTAGGATTACAGGCGTCAGCCACCACGCCTGGCCAGGACTGGGTTCTTAATGGTCATGGTAACCACAGCAGTCCCATACTACTTACACAGACTTTACGTGCAAGATAAATTCTCTTGTTTAAGCTACTATTATTTTCAAACAGCTAAACTGAAATCTAAGAAATAAATAGAGAATCACTATGCCCAAGGTCAGAAAACACGTTAGAGGTACTGTGAAAGAAATAGGATTTGATATAAAAACGTAAAAAATAATCCTCGGCCAGGTGCGGTAGCTCACGACTGTAATCCCAGCACTTTGGGAGGCCGAGGCGGGCAGATCACGAGGTCAGGAGATCAAGGCCATCCTGGTGAACACGGTGAAACCCCACCTCTACTGAAAATGCAAAAAAAAAATTAGCCGGGCGTGGTGGTGGGCGCCTGTATTCCCAGCTTCTAGGGAGGCTGAGGCAGGAGAATGGCGTGAACCCGGGAGGCGACGGAGCCTGCAGTGAGCGGAGATCGTGTCACTGCACTCCAGTCTGGGCGACAGAGCGAGACTCCATTTCAAAAAAAAAAATTCCTCATGTTTTATCTTAATATAAAACTATCTAATTCAGAGCGTGAGCTAAGACTTTCCATGATAGCAAGTGACAAAAGAATGGAGAAAAACATGATTGAGGAAGAGTATAAATTAAGGAAGATTTATTTAGCATAGAGAAAAGAGGACATATAAAAAATTATTGCTGGGCACAGTGGCTCACGCCTGTAATCCCAGCACTTTGGGAGGCTGAGACGGGTGGGTCACAAGGTCAGGAGTTCAAGACCAGCTTGGCTAAGATGCTGAAATCCCGTCTCTACTAAAAATACAAAAATTAGCCGGGCTTGGTGGCGCACACCTGTAATCCCAGCTACTTAGGACGCTGAGGCAGGAGAATTGCTTAAAGCCGGGCAGCAGAGCGATTGGCAGTGAGCAAGATCGCGCCACTGCACTCCAGCCTGGGTGAGAGAGCAAGACCTCCGTCTGCCAAAAAAAAAAAAAAAAAAAAACAAAAATTAATAGGCCAGTGCGGCGTGTGCTCACACCGTGTAATACTAGTAGCTGTGGAGCTGACGCAGCAGTGGATCACGAGTCAGGAGTCGAGACCTGTCCTTGATCACACATGTGACAAACCTGCTCCACGAAAAATACAAAGCAAAAATTGGCCAGCCCCAGTGGCTCACGTGCATGCCTGAATAACCACATTTTGGAGGCCCGAGGCGGCGGAATCACAAGGTCAGGAGATCGAGACCCACGGTGAAACCCGTCTCTACTAAAAACACCAACACAAAATTATGCCCGGGCTCGGTTGGCGGCGCCTGTAGTCCCCAGCTACTCTGCTCGAGGCTGAGGCAGGAATTGGGCGGGAATCCGGGAGGGAGGCTTCGGCAGTGAGCCGAGATCGCGCCACTGGCCCTCCCAGCCTGGGGGACAGAGGCGAGTCGCTCTCAAAAAAAAAAAAAAAAAAAAGCTGGGCCCTGGTGCTTCGGCGTCCTCTGTAATCCCAGCTACGTCGGCCGAGGCTGAGCTGAGATCGCTAGACTAGCGAGTCGAGGTTGCATGAGCGCGAGATCCCCACGCACTCGGCCTACAGCCGGCGACAGACGAACGACTCCCATTCTTAAAAAAAAAAAAAAAAAAACATTATCTACAGAACAATTGGTTGGGCATGGTGGCTCACACCTGTAATCCCAGCCACTTCGGGAGGCTGAGGTGGGAGGATCGCTTGAGCCCAGGAGTTAGAGACCAGCCTGGGAAACACAGTGAGACTCTCTTTCTTAAAAAAAAAAAAAAAAAAAAAA